TGAAAGGTTTGTCCGAGAAGTGTATTTCAATTTTTCAATCTGTTTATACTTATAACCGAAGCTTATGACACTTTCACCCGAGTTCTCCGCTAAATGTGTCGTTCACCGGGAGTCGCTCTCTCTTTCTCCCTTTAACTTAACTTTTTCATACACTTTATTTATTGTCGTGCGGGGATAGTGGCATCGATTTGCTCCCAGGTGGTAAACTGTCTGATCTGGAGTATGTAGTCGACATTTTACTGCTAAGTAAAGATCCAGTTAAGTTGCAAGCTTTCCTGGATAGTTTAAGTGTGCGTTGTGCATTTTCATAGTACAAAATGTTGCCACGAGACAGGGTTAGCCCAGCTCCCATCCTTACTCTAAATGAGGAAGTAATACAGAAAATGAATAAGTTTTGCTCTTTGAGTAGCTACATCTCACCTGGCGGATACATCACAGATGAGGTGTCGGCATGCATATCGAAGGCTCAATTGATATCTGCCGAATCGAGACATCTGTGGCGCCGTCACGACATCCAGCTATCTGTATAGAGTCGAGTATATGCGGCCTGCGCCACATCGTACGAGTTTGGCGGGACAACCGGACATGCAATGCTGAGGTTAGGCGCAGAGTTTTAGTTAGCCGCGGTCACCCACTGGAGCGAGTGATCGACCTTCGTAAACTGCGTTGTTTGGGGGTGTGTTGTGTATGCCCCCAAATCGATTGCCACAGCTGGAGACGTTTGCCGAGCCAGACAGCGAATGGAAGTAGGTCACGGGTTATCCAACTAAGACCTGGTGTGAGGATATGAAAACCAGGAGACGTAGTCACATTGGTCGCGATAGGTTTCCCAGATGTTGGCATCGTGCATCTACTCATTATCCTTGCTACTTTAACCTTCTGGATGTCTTCATTTTCACTCCGGCTTTGGTTTGAACATTCCCATCTTCCCTTTACTCCTTCCTCCAAACAGGAAGTCATGAGACAGCAACGGAAAGTGGCACACGAAGGTACATGAGTGATTGTCGTAAAAGCTGAAACTGAAAGTATCAACTAATATAAGCGTTACGTATTGATGAATGTTCCGGCCATAGGTCTGTCTAATCCTACGAGATCCCCCTCTTTAGAACCGTTAAACGTGCACTTTCATGCACCGGTCAATCGCTGTGTCTTGACTGCGAATTTGGGCGAGTGATTAAAGAGAGGATTAGAATATTCAAACCAGTCTCAGTGTGAAAATAATGAACTCACGAAGTTTGATTTTAAAAATTAATTGAGAAAGTGCACAAGGGCCATTGTTTAAGACGCAGCCATATCAGATAGTTTTTCCAATCGCTGATTACGCTAATCTGTCCCCCATCTGGGAAGCCTACCACAACCTACGTGGGCAAGTCTCATACTCTCGTTCTAGGTCTTGAAATATTCGGTACCGACTTGAAAGTCTTTGGCGGTTCCGAGTATTTCCCTATGTTTGTTATCCACCTGTTGTAGTTTTTTAAGTACGGTTGCATCAGTTGTGAACTTCGAAAAATGATATTATTATTATGTTATCTCCTTTGTGTCTCAAGACCGTTTCTATCAGCGAGTGACAACTCCTTTTGCACGTCGCTGCTGTATCCTCCCAAGATGTTAACTAAACATTCTTCGTATCCTCTTCATCGTTAGACTGGACAATTAAATTACAATCTGCACAATATCGGAGCTACGTTAGAATATGCCTAAGACACGCTTGCAAAATTACTGCGTATATGCCATGACTGAAGCTATCCAACGTGTCAGATATTCAGTTTTTAATGCTTATTAGATCGTTTAACAACCCATAACATGATATACATTATCTAAGCCTTTGGTTATTCGTTGCCACACTGGGTTTGATTCATGACACAAAATTTATTTTGTTTATATGACGTGTTTTTCTTGTTTTTCATTTTTTTCCGATTTGAAGATAGCTTCAGTATACTGCAACCAGGGGAAGAGGCCCAATTACTTGGCGATGATGACGCAGGGGATGATAGCACCGTATTCCGTGTAACTGACTCATCTTTAGATTCCCTCGCAACTCCTGTGGGGAAAGCATCAAGTGAAATCGTAGATAACAATTCAAGTTCTACAATCACACAAATACACAAATCCACTCCCCAAGTAGCTGGCGTAAAACGGTCCAGTGATGCCTTGCAAACCACCTCGAATGAAAACAGTGAAGCGTCAGCAGACAGCAAGGAGATTACATCAGTTTCGAACGAAATTCAGCTGAATGAAAATTCTACCTGTTCCGAACTTCAGGTTTGTCACCCTTCTCAAATACGTTTTGTTTTGTGGGTTCTCTTCATTTGGTGGGTGTTGTAGCATTCCTTTTTCAAAACTGTCGAACGCTGCATGAAAGACAAATTAGTTTCGTTGCTTGTTATCTACTGATCGTTGTTCGAATTTACCTGTGATGTTCGTTTAGTTTTCGTCGTTGACGTTCACTTGCATAACTTTACGCCAGTTAGCCCTGTTATCCTCTTGGAGATCTCAAAGTATGCATTGCCGACCGTGTAAAAGTAATAATTGGTTTTCGGGGTTTTTCTTTGTACCAGTCAGCAATCGAGTTCGCTGCAAATTTATGCACAGCCACTAGAGACCAATGAGGGAAGACTAAGAAACCACGATCCAATGCTAAAAGCCTGAGCGATGACTGACCAATCTCGGAAAACACTATGTGGTTTGGGTAGGGCTTTTTCGAGCCACATTGCTAATACTGTCTCTAAAACAACATCCTGTTGCATACATCACCAAGCGGTATCCACACCCAACCTCTTTCTCTTAATTTACTCCCGGTGTCGGGTTGTTCGCCGTTTTGGCGTTCAAGGTGATTCCTTGTAACTGGATAGCGCCAAATTAACTAATTCTTTCTCGTAATGAACTTGAAGAGAGAATACAGCAGGTTCACGCTGTGCTGTTTATTTTTGATTTTTATTTCGGTGTATCTCATTAGGTACATATTAATGTATTTCAGAATTACTTAAGAACTGCTTTCAGAATCTATTATCCGTCGTCTTCAACGCTTTTTCTACGAACCTAAAATATCGCGTTCTTCTTAAGAAACTAACCTCTATTTAATCATAAGCTCACCTTGTTCGATAAGTTGTTATCATTGAATTGGACTTCAAGGAACGCAAAACCATGGCTTAATGCAAAGCTTGTAAATCTTGGACACCCGGGTTAAGTTCTGTGTACCTCTGGGATTTATCTTCACACTACCTAACTCGCCTCAACGCAGTCTAACCAAGTCAGAATACTGGACTCATTCAATCACCAAGCTACGGACAATATGTATATTAAGAGCGGAAGTCATCTGGCATAGATTTGACATCCCTGTTTGCCAAAGTGTCATTACACGAACCAGTCGATTTGATTTGTGATTATGCCAAGAAAGCGTAAATGTAGAAATTCCGGTGATCAAACTGATGCATAATCTTGCTGTACGCCGAAAACATTTGCTTCACGTTTCAGGTCTGACATTCTTGCTAGCTGGAAGACATTGGTATAGAAAGCCCCTCGAAACCCGTACCGACCGATATCCTTGTAACGAACATTAAGAACAAAGTCAACGGTTCCACAGATGAGTTGAGGATATCTTTACATTCAGCAACTTTGAGTGGAACGCTATCAACCTCTTCCACAAGTTCATAAAAATGCAATACAGACATTTCTTTTATAGGTCAACGGCTTGTTGTTACCTTGATCTGAAAGCGAGCTTCCACTCCGTCACTTGTTCTGCACTTTGGCGCTGCCTCTCCTTAGTGAATGCTCCGGAAAAGTGTATTTCAATATTTGTCATTATCGTACGGCAAGATACAGATAAACGAACTTCGCTGATTACTGCCAAACTCACAATGTACACAAATTAAGTGAGAAAGTATAAGATGGAGAGGAATCAGGCCTAATTAAAGGGAGGCAAAGGAATTTAATCTCTATGGTCAACACACAGCGTACACAATCTAACTGGGCATACATAACTTTTCAAACGCTCTAGCCTGTTGTCGGTTGGTTTCCTTATCCTTCAGTGTCTCCAACCAACCAGTTACAGAGTCTTTGGGACATCAACCTGGAAGACAGGTGACACCTATTCTGCCTAATGGCTCTGTCCATTTATTCATGCCTCGTTTTCACATCATCTGTTGAATTCTACGTGGTTTCTTCCAAACGAGCTAAAACATCCAATAAGGCGCAGTGCGGTAGACGCTAGCTGGGCATGCGCAATACATGTCCTAATCAGCGAAACCGACTAATATCAATTCGATGGGATAACGAATTCTCCATCAAATCACTACCAAATACGCGACGGCCTACCTCAGAGCTGCTTACACGCTAGCTCCATTCAACTAAGGCCAAAGTACATAAAGACCAGCAGTGGAGGACTTTCAGACGACGATCATTTTCCGCACGCAACCGTAAAGTAAAACTTGCCACGCAGTGCCGCAGTATACGTGACCTTTCAGTTTCAAGGGAACATCTCATCGGCATCAAAAGTGTTTTAGTCCTGCGTCCGCTGATCATGTCTCAGTGCAAAACTGCAGGTCCTTCGGCATGTGCTTTGCACCTTCAAAGTGCAAATTGATGCTACAAGACTGGGTGTCTCCGAGTTCTGTTTTAAAACTAGACGGTCAAAAATTAGCTGAAGTTGACTGCTTCTCGTACTTGGGTAGCTGTCTGACCAACGGCGGTAGCACATCAAAGGAGATAACCGCACGCATTTCCAAGGCTCGAACAGCCTACGCAGGACTTAAACAACTGTGGCGGCGACGTGACGTTTCGCTGAAGTTGAAAAGTCGCGTATACTGCGCCACCGTACGATCAGATCTACTTTACGGTTGTGAGACTTTGAATTTGCGGGTAGAAGACATCCGTCGTTGCAGTGTTTGATAATCAATGCTTACGTAGTTTGGCCCAAGTGGGATAGAGTGAGCGGGTTAGTTACTTCGAGGTAGGTCATCGGGTGTTTGGGAATGTATCAAACAAGAACTTGCTATATCGTCGAATCCAGCTCAGTAGGCTCCGTTGGTTGGGACACGTTTTGCGTATGTCCGACGGTTGCCTATCGCAGCGTGCCTTGTTTGCAGTGGCTCTTACAGGCTGGAGA